TTCCGGTTATTGGAAATCGCTCAAAAGTTGATACGGATCTACGATTTTGATAAAATACTTATATATGAAATTTCATCAACCTAGCTGTAACGGTACTCAAGTTATCGTGTTTACACACGGACAGACAGACACACAGACAGACACACAGACAGACACACAGACATACGGACAAGATTGCAAAATTATGTTTTTCCGTATCAGTGAGGTGTGAAACGTCGAGATTTGTAAAAATCTCGATTTTTTTTTTTTTGCACGATTATAAGACTTTCTCTATACTTCGTATATACGAGAAAGTAAAAAGTCTAGTGACATTTATGCGCAATTTCCTTATGTTATCTAAAAATAGCTCTGACGTATAATGCTGCGGTGCGTTCAAGCTAGAAGAACGATCGGTTTGTAGGTGTTTATGTAATTTTAAAATTTGTGACCGAATGAGAGGATATTTTTGAAAACTTTCTTCGGCAATATTGTTCTAAATTATGGCAGGAATCGATTGGTACATGTTTCAAGTCGCTAAGTGGTCTGGTTGCCGAGATATGGGCCAAAAACTGAATTTTTTCGAGGTTTTTTGGCTTTTCCGGGAAATACATGAAAGAAACCCGGAATTTTTATGGCCTATGCTCATTCTCGTAACTTGCTTAACATAATTGCTTTTGGAACTAGTCATCTATATTGCTTCGTTGAGGAGGAGATACGACTTAAAGCCCGGACACACATTCATCCATACATTCATCCATCCATTCCCAGAAATGACGAGTTAATAAACGCAATTCTCCAGAATGGAAATTGCGCTAAAAAGTCTTTTAAAACCGCGTAATAACGGGTAAGTTCAGTTTATAGTACATGTATTACTTTTTAAAATTCAAAAGTGTGTCGTAACTCTCTGAATCTCCCCCTCACCCCCCCCCCCACCCCCGTCCATTGTCACACATCGTAACAAAAGTCCGATCTACACTCCATCTATAGAGAGTGTCATTTGTGGATGAGCCCATTTATAAATGACGTCACATTCCTTGGGGTGGGACGGTTGGGGGGGGGGGGGGAGAAGAGTTCGAACTATTCTGCCGATGTGTGAAGAGGGCTGAGTAGGTGGAGGGGAGTGGGGGTGGGTTATCTTATACGATTCTGTGTGACACTATGAAGCAGGATGTAAATTAGTCAAAACGCGTGACGTTATAGATGGAAAACGCACAATCTCTATTTTTTTTTTAAAATCGATGCAACTTAAAAAAAAAAATGGATTGTCATTTTTTTAAAAAGAATTTAAAAAGTGTTTTTTACTATTTTGATAAAAATAATTGTGACAATTGATTTTTAAAGTTAAGTAACAATCCCTAAAATGTTTGTTTAATCACCTAAATTTAAAACTTGTAAACATCAAAAGTACGAATTCCAGGCCTAAAAATATTTTTAAAAATTAGACAATTTTACCCTCCATAGTCAACATTTTAAAAATTATTTGCCCAATTTAAAATAGATCGCTTACGTAAATCAATCTAAAGTAAACAACTTTCCCCGTCTTCAAGATACCACAACAATGCAGACTTTTACAACTTGGCGTCATCGAAAAAAAGTAGAGCTAATTAAAAAACATAACTGAAGTTTGCCGAGACAAAATACACATTATCTCGTCCTTATTTCCACGACCTAAGACCGGAATTCGATCAAGGCTACGTGGGGTATGATAATGCATGTGAGATTATACTGGCGAAATCTGGTTTCAAGTTTACATAAGGGTGTGGTGAAATGTAGGCCAAGGCAATATTTAACCCTCCCCCTCCCCAAGGTCTTATATTGCAGTCTATACACTAATATAAAAGAATATCGAATAAATTTTTTGTGTTTGTTTAGTCTGACCGTGACGCAAATGCGTTTTTATGTATGCTAGAGACAGTAGGTTTAGAACCTGTGACGATGAAGTGTTGTTTTTATTTCTTTGTCAATCGTTATCATTTACGAGACCCGAAACAAGACGGGTGGGGTGGGGGGGGGGGGTAAGGGTGTACCTGATTGGGTACTAGCATCCCATGAAATGACATGACGAATAGGAGAAATAAAAGGAGAAATAAAAGGAGAAATAAAAGGGATACATTCAACAGAGTAGGCGATGTTCATTTGATTTTAATTACAATCTTTGTCAAGAACAGAAAGGCACCATCTATCATGGGGTGACACCATCTGACAGGAAGTAAGGTGACACCACCTGACATGGAGTAAGGTGACACCATTCCAGCATCGAGTGAAGTGACACCATCTAACATCGAGTAAGGTGACATCTTTAACATGGACTGACCTGATATGGGGTGACACCATCTAACATGGAAGACACCATCTAACAGGGAGTGAGGTGACACCATTTAACAAGCGGGTGACACCAAATTGGTGGTGTGAATATGACCACATATCGTTGCATGTTTGCCTGTGTTGGTGGTAACTAATCTCAAATTTAATGCACTGTTAAGCTCACAACATCCAGGAATGGAAGGTAGGGGCGTGGCTAAAAAAATGTGAAATACCTTTGTAACCGCGCTCTGTACGGATTGTTTTGATATGCCAGGAAATGTTGAAAGGGGTGTTTTTTTTTTTAAATTTGCTTTAACTTAAATTAAATTAGAGCAGGGCCCATCTGTGTATGACAATCTTGAAAGGTGGTTTTTTATTTTGCTTGAATTGTTATAAAGTAGACCACAGTCTAACTTTACATTGTGTGTTATGTACTTTTCACAAGTTGTATATGGGTTTAGCTTATTGTTTGGGCATTAGACTGATATATACCAGGGTATTCGACAGACTATACCTGGGCTTTGATTTGACAGACTATACCTGGGCATTAAACAGACGTATACCTGGGCATTTGAAAGGCATATATTTCTTGGGCATTTGACATACTATACCTGGGGCTTTTGCAGACGTATACGGTCCGCATGTATCTTTTAGTAGTCTAACTATCTGTTAAAGAGTTAAACATTTGTAGTCGATTAACAGTGACACAGCCTTCACCAATACTCTTTCAAATTCTTCAACTATTTCAACATTGGGGACCGTGTGGTCTGGTGTGAGATTGTATTATCGCTAGCTCCAGAGGCGTAGCGACCCTTCCCGGCGCCCAGGGACAAACTTTTCGATTTGCACCCACCCCCCTCGAGATTTCGATTTGCACTACCCCCCCCCCCCCTCAAACTTTCGATTTGCACCCCCCCCCCCCCTCGAGATTTAAATTTGCACCCCCATCCCATCAAACTTTCGATTTGCACCCTCCTCAACCTTTCAATGTATTTTTCCGACCCATTTTGGCGCCCCCTAAGGTCGGCGCCCGGGGACATATGTCCCCCCCCCCCGCCGTCCCCCCCTCGCTACTGGCTAGCTCCAAAAGTCCCGAGATTGGTCTCCCATGGACAACAACCCATTCAGGAAAGACAACTCCAAAATCAAACATCTACTGCCTTGCAAATTGTTTTGGGTGGACAAAGGCTGTGGAAGCAAATCCAGAAAAAAACAAGTTAATTAAAAAGTCTAGTGACATTTAAGCGCAATTTCCTTATGTTATCTAAAAATAGCTCTGTCGTAGCGTAAATCAAGAGCAGGGTTAGTAAAACCATTGGTTAGCTATTAAAACGTTTTTTATTAATTTTTTTCAGTATTTTACATGTTTTATTTACAATAGAGTTACATGACTAAAAACCATTGCGCGCCTACTGAATGTGATGACGCAGCCATTGAACGTGATGGCGCAGCTATTGAACGTGATGACGCGCGTGGTGTGGTTGGATAAATATGCTTACTAATTCGGTCCAAATTTTAATTAATTAAAAAAATTTTTTGTGACCGAACGAAAGGATATTTTTGAAAACTTTCTTCTGCAATATTGTTCTAAATTATGGCAGGAATCGATTGGTACATGTTTCAAGTCGCTAAGTGGTCTGGTTGCCGAGATATGGGCCAAAAACTGCTTTTTTCGAGGTTTTTTGGCTTTTCTGGGAAATCCATGAAAGAAACCCGTAATTTTTATGGCCTATGTTCATCCTCGTAACTTGCGTAACATAATTGCCTTCGGAACTAGTCATCGATATTGCTTCGTTGAGGAGGAGATACGACTTAAAGCTGCGGACACACATCCATCCATCCATCCATTCATTCATACATTCATACATCCAGAAATGACGGGTTAATAAACGCAATTCTCCAGAATGGAAATTGCGCTAAAAAGTAATTAAGACACGGCGTTTAAGCGCAAAGCTAATTCAATTGACTTCATTTTAATGTGAAAGACGTCATCACTTTTCCGTTTCGGGGTTCTGGGTGATATATTACTGAAGCAAAACTTCGCCTAGTATTTACACTATTGCGGCGATATTGAACTAGTTTGTCATTAATCGGTGTGTGTGTGGGGGGGGGGGGGGGGGCTGTCTGGTGCGACACATGGTACCGCATATAGTGCTTCTACCAATTATTTGCTGATTCTAGAAATGTGCAGCATTTTGTTGCCCCCTCCTATAGGTCTCAAAGTCTACGGAAAGACGAGCTTAGGGCTACCAGTGCAGTACACATACTTTGTTTGATCTCAAGTTTCTTTTTTAAATACCGGCTTTATAACGGTACCCACGTTAGTTGTATCAACTGGATGGGGCACATTTATTCAGACAATCTATGGTGGGACTTGTGGGACATCAATACTTATACAGGCAGACTTTTCTCTTGGTGGGAGACATACATTTATACGGGCAGACTTTTCTCTTGGTGGGAGACATACATTCATACAGGCAGACTTTTCTCTTGGTGGGAGACATATATTTATACAGGCAGACTTTTCTCTTTGTAGGACATATACATTTACAAATACAGACTTCTTCTTCTTCTTCTTCGTTCTTAATTGTGAATATGGTGGAGGATTCAGACAACAAGTCCAACTTCGTGGACAAACCGGACTGTGGTCTCCAGTTTGTCAGGTGCCCCATATAATTTTTCCCTGAGTGGGGTACAAATACAGACAACACGTAAAATAGTTTGAACATTAATCAGCAATGTCATATTTTATTTGTATAAAACATTACATTTTATTAACCATGATTAAGAAATAATTATATTCTCTATATACAAATATTTACAGGCAGAAAACACAAAAATTGCATGAAAGCAGAGATGGGCAACATGTATCTGAGAAAGATGAATGATGGAAAGTTAATGTAAACATTGATTGGAAACAAAACTAACAGCAGAAAAAAATTTACAGCTTAAAAAAAAAAATTAATAATGCACATTAATGGTAGGAAGAAAACAGTAGACGAAAATTTCGAAACTTTACCAACTTTAGTGAAAGAACAAACACACCAATGCCTAAATGGGCTGTATCAAAATCAGATTATCTCAAAACGCCAAAGCATTGTTTTAATTTGTTCTTTATGATATTAAAGGGTTTGACTTTTTTAGTAACATCTATTTTTACCAAGTCACCTCCCCTTAATAATACAATTGGTTCAAGAAAAATAACAAAGTATTTCTGTATGTTATGTACATTGAATACTGTGGATAAGTAGTTATGAGTTTTTCTACAGCTTACATGAAATCAAAATGTAGTTCATACATTTAATTTCAAGTACATCAGCTTTAATATACAGCATGGTTAAAGATTTACATAATTTCATACATTTTATTTGTACATTTTGATTAAATTTAACAATATTTCATACCTAGCCTGTTGATATAAAATTGTTAAAATGGGTCTGTATTTCTTTTCTTAAACAGATTTTATTAAAAAAAAAAAAATACTGTATAGATAAATTGAAACAATAATAAATAGATGGCAATTATTAAATTCAAGTCTTACTGTATTTCCCAATGGCTATAAGATTTTACAGAACAGGCTCAATGTTTACCAGACTTATGACTATGTACAACTGAATTCAGAACAGAATTGAAACAAAGATGCCTTAATAAAAACAAAAACTATAGCCAGTGTAAACTAGTACAAAATGTCTGACATGCTCTTAAAAATACATTTCTAAAAATATTTATCTCCATGTTTTGAAATGAATTGGGAAAAAAAAAAATCACAACGGATATTTTTAACGAAGAAAAAAATAATTTTCCAGTACATATTTTACTCGATTGAATACAGATAGTCCATTGATTTTCAAAGTACATAATAACATACTCTCATCTCACAAGAGAATTCTTTCACTGAACTTATGCACAGTAATGTTTTACATAAGAAATTTAACTAATTAATGTATGCTATCATAAAGTTACCATCACAAAAAATTGTGGTGTTATTAAAGCGTACATATTTACCTACTTAAGCTGTATAAATAAAAGCTTTACATATCAACATCAATGATCAAATAGATACATTGATGTCAGCTACTGTGCTAGCACAAGAAGGCACAGATTATCAACAGTATATACATTTTAGTGTTATTTTCTTCACATCAGTTTATATCAACCTAGCCAGTAATATGTCAAATGCAAAAAAAAAATAACAAATAGTGTAAAATGGAATGTGTTTTGAAGGCTAATATAGTAAAAAACCTGAAGGAATGTATTTTTTTACAACTATAAAATATAATATGCTTTGTTAGTAACAAAACTTACAAGAAATTAGAATATTCTGGTATTATTAAATCTGATTTGATACTTAAAATATCAAAAACAGATAATTAAAGTAAAAAACATAAAAAGAAAATTTTGTTAAAGTGCATCCATTGTAATATTGCACATTTAAAGGCATTAGCCTTTGAATATTTAACTCTTAGAAAAAAAAAGGAAAGGTATTGATTTAACAATGGAAAACAAACAGAAATTAAATGTTAATCAAATAATGGAGAATTTTAACTTGATTTATAAAAAAAAATTAACTTTCAAATTTACTTAATATGCAACTTAATTTTATTGCATAAAAAGCTAATAGATAACGCTTAAGTAAAAATGAAGTTAGAAAATATTTACAGAAAATGAAATTAATTAAGATGATAATTTAAACATTCAAGTTTTGTACAGATTTGGGAAAACTGTTGCCTGACAATGCTTATATTGAAGAAGAAGAGAGAAAAAGATATACAACAGAGAGTAAGAAACGTATAAATTCTAGACAGATGACTCATAGAGCACCTGTTGGGATTGTTGCTGGGTGTTGATCTCATACAAGCCTTCTCTTATAAGGAAGCGGCTGGCGTCATACCGGCCCTTCTCAAAATACTCTTGAAGGATATGGGATTGTGGTGGGAAGAACGCGTCTTTGCCTTTCTTTAGATTATTCATGTTAACCTATAGGAAGAAAATTGGAGAGTTTATTGTTAAAAAATGTCGAAGGTATTAAGCATGGATAAAAAAAATTATCAAAGTTATGTTATTGACTGGATGTGTCTGAATAAATAATAGTTCGAGTATTTTTCATACCAATGTCTGAAAGTGATACTGTAATAGGGTGTTCTATACTAGGTTACTAGAAGCACACTACTAATTGTTTAATTTGCAAATGTAAATATAACAGTAGTGCACTACTCATTATATGATTTGCCAATGCCTACACGATAAATGGATATGGTAGCAGCAGTGAGGTTTAGCCAAAAACTATCCCTAAAATAGACCATGACCATGTCTGACCATACTCCTAAAACAAGAGCTAATATTACAAGTTGAGGTCATAACATTAATAAAATATACTCTATTTTTGGTCGTCCATTTTTAAATACTGGTCTGAAAAATATGTCTACCTTTTTCCAATTAAATTTTTTTTAAAGAATAAAGTAGAAAACGGCACCTATAGCTAAAAAAATATGCCAAATAATTTGAAATTTATTTTTTAATTGAAAGTAAAGTAGAAAACAGCAATAGGGCTGGTAAGTAGGTCATTAATCAGTTCTACAGCTCAATAAAATCTGCATGAGCCATAGAACTAGTTGGTGACCTACTTACCAGCCCTATTGTGCTTTAAAAAAATACATGAAAGTTAAAAGACTTTAGAGCTAGTCACCTGTAAGTCTTGGTTGTGAAAGTTAATGAAATGTGCTTTTTTCTCTACCTCCTGACCCATCTTAGGGCCAATATCAGACTTGCCGTCAAACGGGGACACAGTGATAGTCCGGCCGGACTCAAACTTAGGCATGTTATCTGACATGCCCCCGTCCATATACTTCTGAAATATGGAACAATAGTAAGTCTAAAATAGAAACAACTTAGGAACTACAAACTACAATAAAAAAACTTATTATTAACCATAGCAAGGGTTATTTAGAGTGAATGAATTGACAGGTAAAATTCTTAAATGATTGTGGCAGAAATTTATATCAATTTTTTGTTTTTAATTTCAGTCAGTTAATAACAAAGATTAACGGGACAACATGGTCAGAAGCTAGAGCAAATGACTGATATCCCCATAAGTCTTAAGTTTGGACCCTGAGCATAGTCCAAAGCAGGTACCTGAGTCCACAGAGTTCCTGATTGACATTCAGGAATGTAAATACGGCTGGGCATACAATTGACTACACTATCCACGTATATGCTGAGGTCACAGAAACAGATCAAATCTATTTCATCTGCCCTAATGACTGACAGGTCTGAGATCGCTCCAGCTTTTTTAAAACAGAGATAAAAGTAAAACTAATAAATGCTACACCACTTGGAAGATAAAGCTTACCTTTCCACGAATGGTGGGCGTCTTCATGCCGGCGTACACTGGGATGTAACAGCTGGCTACCAATGCCTAATAGAGCACAAAATATACTTTATTTAAGTTTTGTACAATTGGAAAACATCATTTTATGTAGGCCTTGTTGATCTTAAAAAATATATTAGTAGGTTTTAACTATTATAATGTCTATTATAATACAAATGTTCTGTTTAATATAGATTAGCAAAAACATGATATTGCTTAGATGTATGTTCCTGCATTTAATTTTTTTACCTCAATGAGTTCATCCTTTGATTTAAAATCAGTCATCAGCTCATTCTTCTTGGTCTGGGCGTTGGTGAGGGAGACGTAGAGTTTACCCGAGGCCGTCTCGTGAGCGTCCTCAGGCAGGATGTCCTCCAGCATGGTGCGCAGGCTGCGGGTGAAGCTGAACCCTGGGGTCAGGGCACCAAGTGGTTTCCTGCGAATCTCTTTAGCCAGGTTCTGGACATGATCAGCTGATTCCTGGAGAACAGATTACAGATAGATAATTAATTTAATTTTAATCAAGAGGTGAATTACTGTTCTTTACTTTAAACTGACTTTTTTGAAACAACATATTTTTTATTAAAATATATGGATGATTATAGAAACCGGTGACACACATTAAGAAAAGAAAAAGAAAACATAGCAAAACATGCTTTGGACTGGAACCCCCAGGGAAAAAGGAGGGTCGGCCGATCAAGGAAGACATGGAGAAGAACGGTTGAAGAAGAGGCGAAAACAGCTGGGCACACATGGGCACAGATAAAGGGGGCAGCCCAAAACCGAGTCCGATGGAGATGTGTGGTTGCAGCCTTTTGCTCCCCAGGTGCCACAAAAGAATGATGATGATGCCAGGCGATGCTTATATTGAAGAAGAGGAGAGAAAAAGATATATAACAGAGAGTAAGAAACGTATTAATTCTAGACAGATGACTCATAGAGCACCTGTTGGGATTGTTGCTGGGTGTTGATCTCGTACAAGCCTTCTCTTATAAGAAAGATAATTAAATGATTAGGTTAATTAATGTTCTTTACTTTAAACTGACGTTTTTGTAACATGTTTTATTACAAAATATAATTAAAATTATTAGGTGATGGCGTGGTCATTTGGTAGAGCACATGAATGCTAATCCAAAAATATCGAGTTCGGATCCCAGACTCAAGTCTGTATGTTGCCCCTAAGTCCGTCAAACTATACAATAAGGTGGCTGAGCACAGATCTTGACCACACAAGGTAATTGATGCAGATGTACTTTACTTCATCTGCCCAATGTATTCTTAGCACTGACGAGAATATAATAAAAGATTAATATTACATTTCATTACATTTGTTTTTTTAATTGCCAAGGAATAAACTATATTATATTTTTTTAAAATAATATTTATTTTGAAAAAAAAAGAATGTTAACATAGGCCTTGAGAGAGAAATTCTTCATGTGAAAAGAAAAACAAAGCATAAAAAGTGCAAGCCCATTAAGAGGAAAACATTGCTGTCCAAAGTTGGTCAGCTCTATACACGGCGCCAGGTGTCATCAATCATAGGCCAAGTCCCTGGTTACCTGCTGGGGTCTATTTATAGCACAATGTCTCGCTTTAAACAAGGCTAGGGCAGACATAGCTCAGCAGAAACTGGTGCAAGACGCCGTGACAGCTTTCAGGAAGCTCATTAGTATTAAAACGTCTTAACCGCGGGGGGGGGGGGGGGGGGGGGGGGGGGGAGAGACGGGACGGGGGGACAGGGAATAAAATAGTCAATGTAAAAAAAAAAAAAACTACTGTTGGTAACTACTGGTGTCTTGTAACAAAGACCATAGGTATACAGCTACTTTTAAATCTGACAAGATAGATGCTAGGGACTAAACATTTGGGTTGAGTGTGGACAAGTCAAGAAATGGGTCTAGGTATGTCGTGGTGAATTCAGGCGGATTCCAGTCTTTGTCTGCACGGATTGTACACGGCCAATGAGAGGAAGGCATGTTTTAAATGTCACGAGCTTTAGTTAAAATATTGAGTATTGTGTATAATGGCATGTCTCCTAATATTATCGATATTTTTTAATTTTTTTTTCAAGAGAGCTGACTTAATATTAGTACACACACAGAGAGTTTCTTCCAGGCATCTCTTCGGAGTATATAAATATGTACAGTGTGAAACATTTTTAAAAAAGGTACAGTGTGAAACATTTTTAAAAAAGCTGTTTTTTGTGTTAAAAAAATAAGTTTCATGTAAGGATATGTAAAAACAAAGAAAATAAGTTAGATCGTGATAAATTCCCGTTTTCAAATGCGTAGTTTCGAAAAAACCAAGTCAAGGCTGAGGCTAATTTCGTTTCGCCATCAATCATACGTCATCTTTAACATTTTCCATTTAATAAGATTTCACTTAAGTGCTAAATGTAGAATGGGTAAAGGTGGGGGGGGGGGGGGGGGGGATATTCATAACATGTGACGGTACTTTAGTCACGAGGTGGGGATTAGGGTACAGTTAGCCATCCTGTATATGTCAAGTTTTGAGGTGGACGATTTGTCAAAGCTAATTTGAGAGAAGCCGAAAGTACCGGTAAATACACGAGACATGAGTGGCTTGTCTGTCCACTACGTTTAAATTAAGCTTAAAGATGGATAAAGTACACAAAACAACTAGCTCGAAAACAAGTTGACTTATAAATGTCATGTAATGCATACTTTTGTATAAAGACAAGAGTCTTTAATAATAGCGGTACGTTTTGTTGTCTAGAAAAAAAAAACAATAACAAAAACACAAATATATTGAATTGAAACTAAACCAATAGATCTATACAGTTATTAATCAGACTGTTGTAATTTATCTGATTAAAATGAAAAGTTGCATCATATATTAAGGGGGATCTTTAATTAACCACAGACGTAGGTAGTGAAGGTTTATTTCTTGGTACCTATAGTAGGTGTTTCAGTATATTTCAATACAATATGGACTCTAGTTTATAAGATTTGGTAATATATAACTAAATACGAGGTGGGGCGTCAGTATACGAATACAACATTTTAAAGAACAGATAATATAATGGTCACGACATGAACCCCAGGAATCGTAGCTCAGTTAAATTGATATAGGGCGTGCTGTAGATGTAATGCTGGTCGGTTCTCCCAACAAAAGGTCACTCTTCACAAGGTGTCCGCCTTGTTTTAAGTCGCCACTGTGACGTCCGGCTGAACCTAATGACGTATTAACATCACGTGGCGAGCGTGGGCGTTGGTCGCTAAATATATCCTGTTGTTGGACTATAACTGGACACCTGGGCCGGCGACTCCTGGGCCAACATATCGTGGGCCAGCGAATTACAAACGTGACTGGACTAATTTATTTGGTAGAATTTACACGAAACGGTTGTCCTAGAAAAACAAGTTTTTTTTTAAAAATAATAATTAAAAAAAAGAGAGACTGACAAAACGTGTTCTTAATTAAGAAGTTAATTAAAGACACATGTTTTAGTACATTAATTAACAAGCATGTCAGCTATTTATAATAAATTACTTTCGCATTCGACTTTAAAAAAAACCGTTGCATGTTTTTTTCCTCTTAAAATTAATAACAAGTGCAACGATTATGTTTTTAAATCATGTACTAATCAATTAGCAAGAACATTGAACTCGTGAAGAGTATTTGAACTTTTCCTAATGGAAAAATACCTGCGCCCACTGAAATACACCTCGTTCAATTATAATACTAACCGGAAGTGAAAGACTTGGGTCATGAAGAGATAAGAACTTAACTTTTTTTTTCCTTTTACTTTTACAGAAATAAAGCTAGAATTTGATAAACCCCACCCTTAAGATACGAAGAATTTGGGAGAAAAAAAAAGAATTTTAAGCGGCTTTACTGAGGGGAAAAAATCCCCGCTGAGTCATGGATTGAGGATGTCGCTCATCACACGTACACCAACGTGCCATTAAATCTCTAGACACGGGAACAATGGGGAACATGTCCTCATTACAATACCTGCACACGGGGAGGAAAGGGGGGGAACAGGTTGATTAATTGAGGAAACAGAGGAGCCCAGGAGATATTTCCGTCGGTGTGAACAAAGATGAAAGAATCTAGGGACAGATTTTTTTAAAGGCTGTTTCTGTTTTAAGATGACTTTTAGACTGAAAGTGAATAAAATGACGTGAGCATGTCGAATCAAAGGCAAATGAAAATTTTTTAATCTGACGGTGTATCACAAAAACAGTAGCCTACACATTTGGTGATGCAAGGCATACACTTGAATTTTTTTTAAAAGAAGGAATGAGACAAGTGGGTAGCATAATAGGGCTGGTAAGTAGGTCACCAACCAGTTCTACGGTTCAATAAAACCTGCATGAGCCATATAACTGTTTATTGACCTACTTACCAGCCCTATTGGATGTACCCAATTTGAACGATGTTTGATCCCTATGAAACACATACAGTATAAGAAGACCAGGTAATCAGCACCGTTGAGTCCGCTAACAAAAGCTTGACCTAATTAGGTATGACCCAGACTATAGGTCAAGGCCTGGATGGCAGAGATTCCAACATGGCGGCCATCATTTCAATTAACCCCGGGCGTATTAGAAGTAAAGTGCAAGAAAATAAGTTGAAATGGTTTCTCCAGAAACTCGACCACATTACACAGTCAATGTCATGGTACTTGCTGCACTGGACTTGACCAGATTAAACAGAACTGTGTATCTAAGCAACGGGGCTAATCAACACAATTTTATTGAGACATTATAGAAAATAACACCACATCATAAATCAATGGTTTATTGTTTCACGTGACCCAACTATGAATATTCAATTGAGATACTGGGAAATTTTTTAGTTGAGTGCGCAGAAAACATATTTACTGGAATTAGCATAAACGTGTAAGAAGAGTAATAAAACTGTAAGACAAGGGGATATAAATATTTGCATACAAATCCCATAAAAATATGCGTACGGGTTTGAAACAATAAACAAGTAAATTGCAGCAATCATTATTAAAACCATAAAAAGTCAAGTACGTCTTAGGGGTCAGACGGTCCCCGAGGTAGATGAAGTAGAGGTACTCTATATCTATGGCAAAGTATGTAAAGGGGTTATGTGGTCAGTGCTATAACCAGCGGCTTTTACTTTCTACAAATGAAGCCAGGAAGTACAAATGTCAGGGCGACACAGTAGTCTTATTGACAAGAGCATAAAACCCATCTGGATATTTTCGGGTTAACCATCACGCTCTCAGTCACGTAGCCACACTGACAGTATAGTCAGTATAGTTATGGTGAAGAAGACTTTAAAAGCGTACAATAATAACGACACTCTTGATTGAAAATAAACCGGGAGTGATCTCCCCTAAACTTTCTCGAATATTCTTCTATGAAACAACAGGGAATAGGAACCCGGGCTATAGACATGATTTTTAATCCATTTTAAATACTTAAAGTTTTAAAAAATAGAATAAAATCTCATAGACAAAAAAATTGCACATCAATTGAACG